GTGCATGCCCAGGGCTCCTGCCCTGACCCAGCAGCGCCTGCCCTCAGCGAGAACCTGGACGCTCTCCCTACCAAGACCGCCGGGGACACAAAGCAGGCTTCGAAGGCTCAGCTACCCTGACAACAACTCTGGCCCGGCCAAGCTGGAAGGGAAAGGGCTGCTAATACTGAGCGGGCCCAGTGCCAGCCAGGACCACACGCCTCGCAGCGAATCACGCCGGCTGTGGGCTGCTCCAGGAGGCACAGGAGTGTGGCTGGGGCAGCAGAGGTCAGGAGCCAGAGAGATCACTCCAGCACCCTAGCCCACACTACGCTCAACTGCTGCAGGAGTCTGAAGTCTGTGTTGCCATGGTAACCCCATCCAGAGCAGAGCAGCCCCCTGCACTAGCAGCCTCGGTATCACTTCCCTCAGCCTCTACAGCCAACAGAAGACACTGGAACAATGGGGTTATCACAGTGACAATCAAGACACTCCAAGAGTGGGGAGTTTTACAGAAATAGGTCCGTGGGGTGGAGAGGAGATGTGGCAAAGACAGGAAATACATGGTAACTGCGCCGAGTTTTTAACTGGGTACAGCATTTACACTATCAGGCTTTCCCTTCCAAATCTGGCCTAAGAAAATATCGATGGTAAGGACACCACCATAGATATGCATGTGCATGTTCTCGGCATCACCACACACAGCCAACACCCTGGGCAGCACAATCCACACAGAAGCCGGGCCTGGTGGTGCAGCTGCGATCCCAGCGTGTGAGAGGCTGAGGCAGGAGGTTGGCAGGTTCAGGGCCGGCCTGGGCCACATAAGCAAGTTCAAATTGGCCTGGACTGCACGGCAGAGCCTGTCTCAAAAAAACAAAAAATCACCCAAGCCCACAGACGCTCCAGGCTCTTACACGAAACGGCAGAATATCTGCACATACCCTCTGCATGTACTGCTATAGACTCTAAATCTTCTCTAGATTACCACACAGGCATTCCTCCTTCAATGACCCACCCGTTTAATGACTGTTCCAACCTTCGGAGGTGCAGTTCGCACATCTGACCCACCCCTTGGGCCTACGACTCAGCCTGTTTTGGTAAGTTCTGCAGATCTTGTTTATCCAGCCTCAGTGTCTTTCTTGCACAGTACACCTTGCTTCTACAGGACTGTCATTTTGCTGACTGCGCTGTGTGGTACAGTACCATAGTTTTATGTCCTGTTATACATTTCCGTACCACATGTAAGAGTATGCAAATAGAAGCAAAGGCATCAAGTTGGAGCTTCCTTTGACCGTTTCTTTGTTCTTAATGCTGCACTGTCCATGCTCTGTACAATTCCTCCTTTGGTGACCGGTCAGTTAATGAGCCAGTCACAGCGCCAGGGCGCAGGCTCTGAAAGAGGAAGGTCTGTGACCCTAACAATTCAAAGGCTATGTCCACAGCTGTTACACTGCATTGTTGAAGGGATAACGGCAAGACGTCTTTAAGTTCAGTGTAAGTACAGACGCATTATGTTCAGAATATTTTCAATTTTAATGCATTGACTTATTTTTGCAGCTGGGTGAGTCTATGAAGGCAGGGCCCGTGGGCACAGGGCCAATTTTAATAGCAAACACTGAGAAAACTGTATGTCCATTAAAAGGAAACGGGGCTACTGGCATAAGCAAATAATGTAGTACTACATACGCATTAAAAAACTGTGATGCTGGGGATGGTGGCACACACCCATAATCCCAGGACTCGGGAGGCTGAGGCAGGAGGATCATTGCAAGTTTGAGGCCAGCCTGGCCACACAGTGAGTTCAAGGCCAGTCTGAACTATGTACATACTGAGGTCCGGTCTCACGAGCAAATAAAATAAAAAGAAGCGGGGCTTGGAAGGTGAATGATCCTGGGGGCACCGTACTCATCAGTGATAAACCAGTGATCAACCGACTCACGAATCCGAAGCTCACTGTGCTGGAAGGAGCGGGCGGGCCTGCTCCCTTGGGCCGTCCTGGAAGGGCGCATCGCCCTCCCTCCTCTGCTTCCCATTTACCACAACTCGAACAGCTGCCCTCTGCTGTGGCCCTGCCCAGCTGCTTCTGCCCTGGAGCCAGTCAACCACAGGCCGAAAGTTCCGAAGCCCAAGTAAGTAAACCCTCACTTGTGGGTGACAGGTATTTTGTCCCAGTATAAGAATGTGAGTAGGAGAGGCTATGTGACAGAGCTACACATATGTACAAACTTAAAACCATATCTCCAACGTGCAGGTATATATACCACAATATTACAGCCCGAACTTTCAATAACGAGCACATCAAACATTTACAAAAAAGTGGAAAAAACCCAAGCACAGAACTGGATCATAATTTTGGTATTTTTAAAAAACACTTATAAATGTGTTGACTGTGTACATGTATTTTTCATACAGAAAAGAGGAATAATACACCCAAAAACCCACCGTTTTTAAAAAATGTCAAAATGTCATCTGTAATCTCAGCACTTGGGAGGCTGAGGCAGGAGGAGCACTGTGAGTTAGATGTCAGCCTGGACTACGTAGTGAGCTCAAGACCAGCTGGAACCACATAGCGAGACCTTGTCTCCAAAAGAAAGCAATACTCTTATAATCAGAAAAAACAAACTAAAACAAGAAGAGACTAAGGGCAACAGAGGTTACACGTTTAAAACAGGAAAGAAAGAAGATGTGTTGGTGTAGATTTCCCCACAAGCCTTCCGTCTGCCTCCCTCACCCCTCAGATGTACCTAGGCCTTCAGGGCTCCCTGAAAACAGTCTCACCCTGAAAGGACCTGAAACTAAGGCTGCTCCATATGTCTACTTCACCTGCCAACTGTTAAGGCACCCACACGATGTGAAGGACTGGCTCCTCCACAGCCTGGAGCCCGATCTGCTGCTTCCCCTCGGGGCAGGCACACACAGAAAGCTCCAGCAGCCTTCTCACGCCCTAGAAACCTCACCCAGGCTCCAGGCACAAGGACAAAAAGAGCCAGGAGCCATTCCTGGGACGACACCTGAGACCAACGCCCACGCAGTTCTAAAATGCTACCAGCTTCCTTTCATCCTCCCAAAAACATAAATATTCAGGCTGAAAATTTCTGCTACCTCAAAAATAAATTCTCACGTTTCCAATGCTACCAACTGTCGGGGAGAAAATAAAGCCAGAATTTCAGAGCTGGGCAATACTGCTGGAAATACACGTAATCCGAGGGCTCAGAATGTAGCTAAGGGCAAAGCACTGGCCTAGCATTCGTGAAACTCTGGTGAAACTCTGGGTTCCGCCCCAGCACCGTACAAAACAAAAACAAACAAGGACACGCGCTTGCTTTTTCAAAGTCAAATACAAAATCAGATCACAAAGGCGCTGGGGACCAAACCCCCATCACAACCTCCCTCCGTGGTTGTGGCCGCTCAAGCACAACATTCACTGGCTGGGAACCTGGAGCCTTCTCACCCGTGTAAACTTGGAAGCACTTCCTGTTTCGTTCTCTGCCGCCGCCGTCAGGAAAGGTCCTCACGGGCCCAGAGCAGAGCTGAGGGCACACGCTCACTGCACCAGCACTTACGGGGCAGCGCGGCTTGTACAGGGTAAGGCAGGGCGCTGTCCTGTCCCAAGGGCCTTGTGCCGCCAGGCCTCTCCCCGAGCAGCTGCTCAGACAGCCGGGTCCTCAGCCCAGCCTCGCTCACGCTCACGACAGACAATCACTGGGAAGTTTCCCCGTCCAGCCACTGCGCCTGACGGCTTACTTCGTCAGCCGACAGAAAACGGAGTGAGCCAACCTCCCCCACACACTTCCCAACATGAATGGGAACAACTTACTAGAACAAAGCAAATAATGATGCCAACAAGCAGGCACTCCCTAAACTGGCCAAGCAGACTTTTCTGCCGAGAACGAAGCTAGGAAACAAACTTAAGAAATTCTCCACTCTTCACTCAGATGAACTGATCAGCAGCAGAATACCCAGAGGTCCGTCATGCCGGCTTGCCGTGCCCCAGGAGGCTGCTGGGGGCTTCCTTGGCCACCCTGGTAAGAGGAGCACACCTGGCAGCACTGGTCTGACACCAGCATGAGGCCAAAGGCACACAGCGACAGAGGCATCACTCATGTGCTCAAGGGTGAAGACTTCCGGCTTAGCCTCTGGGAGTTTGAGAAAATAACCTCACTGGTACACAGGACAGAGCTCAGAGTCGCTGGATGCTGCAGTGAAACCAGGAGGAAAGAAGTACGGTGAGTCCCTGACTTACGAACACTCAAGGTGCGAACTTTCATAGATGCAAACAGTCCTCACATTCGGTTTTTTATGCTTTACACTGTGTATCTGTGTCAAAAGCGTGTAAGACTCACTTTGTCAGACTGATGAACAACCAACTTCTGCATATTTCCCGAAATGGACCTCATTTGTACATCGGGGACTGACTGAAATAGAACAGTTTCCACCTCCACTTGCTAGCAGGCTTCGCAAGTCTCTACGTCCAGGCACACAAAGGGCTGCAACTAACACGGCACAGTAAGGCAGGCTAGTGGCACCACCTCATTAGGACATGTCTGCTAGTCACGCTGCTCCCCACCTTCCCCACATCGGGGCACCCAGGGCGAAGTCCCGGTGCACTCCTTCCTGTCTGAGCTCTGGCACTGTGCTGGCCTCCAGCTCCCAGCTCACATGGCCCTCGAGGCCCCTCAGCCACAAGGCCTCCCCTACCTGGGCTCACACAGGTTGGCCCCATCACGAGCTGCTCCACTGTAATGCTTGGCTTGAGGCACACAACCCCGGGCACACTCCAGGTCTGCACCAGGTGGTGCTTTCATTAAACAATCTTTCCCAGCAATCCTCACTCTGAGACAAAAGCAACTGACTGACCAAGAGGAATCTGTCTTGTCCAGACACACTTCGCTTCTCCAGAGTGGCAGGGCAAGGGCGACAACCTCACAGCCCTCACGGCCCTGCAGAGCTGCCAGGTGCTCAGGTGCAGGCCCGGACTTTCGCTGCAGGCCCCTCGGGACAGCGGGACGCCACAACCTTACCTTTTGTAGAAATGGAAGCGCTCCGTGAGGAGCAGAAACTGCTTCTCTCCTTGAAGGAAGAAGTGCCTGGCCCTGGAGACAGCAGGCTTCTGGGTGTACTCGCAGATGTGGGTGAAGTTCAGCTCCTCCCTCTTGAAGTAATTTCGGAGACGCACGTAGTCAAAGTAGGAGGGCACATAGATGAGTGTGTGGGACATGATGGCGTCACGGTACTGAGGCAGAATCTTGTTCACGAAAAAGTTAAACCTGATTTGGAAAGGCAAAGGGCAAGGTTAGTGGTCCAGAGCAGAACAAGAATGGTCTGGAGCTGTGCTGTAGGCCCGGCGAGTCACAACCTCACGTTCAGTTACCTCAGGCCCAGTGTCTCGCTTCCCAAAAAAGATTAGGTATGGACGGAACCTGATGCGGACACTGAAAAATAAGTGCTAACATCACACACTGCACAGAGCAGATGCAACGCCTTTATGCCCTGAAGACACCATACCATCAGTCAGTCGGTCAGGGAAAACCGCCCTGAGCTTCTCCCGTCCGCTGAGCACCATCGTGCTAACCGGTCACAACGAGGAGGAGGAGGAAGACCGGGACACAGAACTAGGACACAGCTGTTGCCCCCAAGGCTTCCAGTAAAGCTGCTGACATGGGACACATGGCACAAAGCACGTAATGTGACTTAAATCCCACAGGCCAGCGGCGGGGATGTAGCTCAGCGCCACAGTGCCAACCAGCAAGTGCGAGGACTGAGTTCAATCCCCCATACAAAAAAGGAGGAAATTTTAAAAATAAGTAAATGCCACAGTGATGCAAGAAGCGGCGCTGACTCAGACCCAGCCAACGCGTCCGTCTGGACCTCAGCTTCCTCCTGAGTCCCGGGACCCCTCTGATCTGCTCGACGCAATCTATTGAGGTTGGATCCCCGACACGGCCCAGGGAGCCCAGCAGCAGGCGGGTTACCTGGCATCGATGGCGGTGGCCAGGTTCTCAGGATCCATCCTCTGGAACACGTGTGGGAGCTGCGCCAGCACGTGACTGATGGAGCCCGGCCCGGGGACATTGCGCACGGCCACCTGCCAGGGTTCGTGAGAACATCACTGCTCAGCCCTGCCCTGGAGCACAGAGCGCGGAGCCTCATGAGCAGCAGCACGGTGACACCCACCTGGCCTTCCAAGTTGACGCAGAACCTGTTGAACACAGAGTTGATCTGCGCATCCTGCAGGGCCCCAAACAGCAGGGTCTGGCGGTAGAACCTGGCCCAGTTATTGAGGCTCCACATCCGTACTCGAGAAAAGTCCACCCCGTGGGAGTCCAGGGGCAGCAAGTTCATGTGGTCCATCAAGTGCTGTGGGCAAAGAGAAGGCCACCATTAGCCTGCACCGACCGAGCGTGCCGGGCAGTGCTGAGCACGCCACAAGCCCAGCGTCGCCTCTCACCGCAGAGGACCTCAACCACTTTCTCCACTGCAGCAAGAAACCCGAGGCGCACATGGGTGAGCAAGATCAGCTGAGACAGGCCACCTCCCGGGCCTTTCACAGTACCTAGTGCAAGTCCTTCAAAGCCACTTCTGAAATGCCACCCTGCAGTGTACAGGCCCCGGCCCCACACCTGACAAAGGGGCAATGACACGGAACACAGAGCAGCTGTCTTTCTGTGACTCAGAGGTGCTGTAGACCTACAGGGGCCCCAAAGCCTTGCGTTTGGAAGGCAACTATATTACGGGGGCATGAGACTGACTTGCTACTAAGAGGTGGGGCCCCACTAACAGAGCTGGGTCACCGGGGCATGGCCTAGAAGGGGTATCTCCCTGTGCAGCTCCTCCCTTCAGTCTCTGCTTCCTGTGCACCATGAGGTAAGCAGCATTCCTCTCCCCGGGCCCTGCCCAGATCAGAGGCAGCTGACTTCGGACTGATACCTCTACAAACTGTAAACCTCTCCTCTTTTAAGTTGTAGGAGTCAGGTGTTGTATCCCATCTACAAGGAAATCGAAAACAACATCCAGTTCTCCAAACATCAGTGGCCCAGAGCACTACAACTGCTTTTCCTCAAACTAAAGAATATGACAACTTACTGACGTGCCTTTTCCATTTTATTACATTTTCAACTGGCAAATATCAGGGTTGGATACTAAAAGCTTATTCCGTGCTTTAGAAGAATGTACTACCCTTATGTGGCCCAAATTCCCACAACTGGAAGGCCTACAGCTGTAGAAGTGAGTTCCCATTTGCAAAAGAAGCAAGCGCTGTCTATGATAAGGGCATTCTGAAGCAGTTTGCAACCCTCAGCAAAGAACTGCAGAGTATGAGGAGGAAAAACAGAAAGTGGATAAAGCTGCCCCATAAAAGATGCCACAGTGATCTCCCATCTCCAGTGAAGACGGAGCCCAAGAAAACGGGCACCAAGAGAGGAGATGAGGGATGGTGAGGCCAGGGTGCTCCACGTCTCACATACGAAGACGCTCAGGGGAGAGCCCCCCCCCCCCGAGAATCTTTACATCTGGGCTGATCTGAGGGCAGAGGAAGGGGAACCAGCATTACCAGGACATGCTCCCAGTTCTGCATCAGGTAAATGTCAGCCTGATCGATGATGAGGAGCTCAATGGAAGACAGAAAGTCACAGTCTCTCTTCTTCACCCCTTCTCCACCGATGATGGTCCTCAAGCCCAGCGGGGAGGCGATGAGGATGTCAGAGGAGTAGAAGGGGGCGTAGAGCCGGATGCTCCTCTGCAGCACCGCCACTCCTGCACAGAGCACTGAGTGTGCACCCGCTCCCACCAGGGCTCCAGGTCGCAGCGCAGCCCCTCGGCCCCGAGCTGTGCTCCAAGCACGCTGCGCAGTGACACACTGACCACCCCTCGTCTACAGTTGCTTCCAGCCCCAAGCCCTCCTTCCCTTCGGTCCCCCAACCTCTCCAGAGTGCTCACTGCTCTCAAGTCTCCCGTCCACTTCTTGGCGCACTGCCTTCTGGCTCTGATTCCCAGAGCTCCAGCCTCCCTGCAGGGTCTGCGCCATCCTGACTCTGGCTCAATCCCAACAGCCCTCAGTTACAGGGCTTCGTGTCCGGAAGCACAAATGCACGTTAAACCCTGAAATGCTCTCTGGCTTGCTTCTGTCCCCAGGACTTCAGCACCCCTCCCCAAGGCTCCTTTCCCTGACCAAGCCCTTGCATGTCTTTCCAGATCCAAATATTTCTTCTTCCAAAGGCCCCTCTGTTCCTCCTTCACTCTACCTAAAGCTTCCAATAACTTTATTTCCTACCCATGGCTTTAATGCTACCTTCATACAAATTTGTTGTTCCAGCCCAAATCTTTTTGCTGTGCTTCAGACCAGCACACCAGCAGCTTGCTGGACATGTGAATGTGTCCCAAACCAACACTGCATCCATACGAAGCCTGTGTCAGCGAACCCTACATCATCCCAGGCTTCGTCCCCAAAGGCCTCCGCACAAATGTTTCTGAAACGTTTTCCTCCACTCCAACCACCCCTCTTGGTGACTGGATAGATCTTACTCGGGTTTCAACCTCGTACAGAAGGCAGCGAGGTGGGCATGCCTTCCCTATCCACACTGCCGCCAGCCCAGACCAGTGGTTTGCTTCCAATGCTCCCAGAAGCCCTGTGGCACAGGCAGCATCTGACCTCCGCACCCCTCAAATGGACTTCACTGCCAAGAGGAACCGCAACTTTTATTCCCAGTTCCCTAACAGTGCCTGGCATGCTGCAGACCAAAAACGATCGTGAATAAGCTCGTACGACTATGAGCTTTCAAGGCAAACAGCCAGGAGGGCAGGAGCTGAACGAGCAACCAGCAAAAACACAGTGAGCTGCAGGAGTCGCTGAGTGAGCAGTGGTCCCTGCAGCACCCACCAGCTGCACCGCAGCACCTGAGAGCGCCCAGTGCCGAGCCGCTCCTTGGAAACGTGTAGCTCACATGCTTTCCCACGTGGCTGTGGCCCGGGCCAGACTCTGCCCTGGCAAATGAGGCGGCGGCCAGAAAGCCCAGAGCCCCAGGCTCCAGCCACTCCGTGACCCGCACAGCACCCCATGCTGACGCAGAGAAATTACCAATCCTGAAGTGGTCATCGATGTTACCCACGAACACAGCCTCATAGTCCTCGGGCCTCTTCAGGTTGGGTGGTCTCTCCTCGGGGTCCGACCCATATTCGCTCTGAAATCTCTTTCTGTTGCTCACGACAACTTTCTTCTTGCTGTCACCCTCGAAGAGGCTGATGAAGAGCTGCACCAGCCGCAAGGCAGCTTCCCGGAATGGCACCACCATCAGGACCTGCGTAGGGGCAATGGCAGCCTCGGTGGGGGCGGGAGGAGAAATAGCAAGCCTGGGGATCTGCTGAGGACGTGGGGCTCAGGAGCCCTGTGTGCACGCAGTGTGGCGCCCGTGTCATCCCAGCAGGGGCCTGGCCCCGTGGACTCGGGCCCATGGCTCCACATGGGTGAGACGCTTCTCCAGAAGCACCTTGGCACAGGGCCATGCCCACCTCAGATCCGTCTGCCAGCCAAGACTCAAGGACAGACATGAGGTACTCTTTTGTGTCCCACAAAGCTCAGTATTGCATTTTTATGCAAAGACCCAGTTAATAAAAAATTTTTTTTTCTGGTACCGGGGATCGAACTCAGGACCTTGCCCTTGCGAGGCAGGCAGCAGCACCACTGAGCTACATCCCCAGCCCCCCACTTAATAAATTTACAGCAAGAAAGTGAAGTAAAGAAAAAGAAATGAGGCTTTCCTCATGGGGCAGCCACCCCGCGTCTCCAGGAGTACTGTTATCTTGATTTTTCCTCTTTTACTTGGCCCAAGCTTGCTCTGCAGAGCCAGTTCCTCTCTCTTCATTTTTTCAAATAACTTTTGTCACCAATTTAAAAAAAAAACTAAAGAAAAAGGATTAACACATCATTGCTTTTCTCGTACATACCCTAGAATCTTTTTTAGAAAACATTGTAAAGTACTCTTAAAACAAGACCAGAATTCAGTGAAAAATAGGACTACTTTCCACACATTTAAAAACACTCAGAGTTATGGTTGAGAGCAAAAACACATGGCTCATTTCCATCACTGTGAAGCAGTATGAGCAATGGACGGAACACACGGCCCAGTGCCTGTCTCCGCCCCATGCAACGCTGTGAAGCAGAGAAGCTCAAGATGCCAACAGCTGAGGCAGATGGAGCCCCGAGTGGAGCCAGCTTGGCCAAATGAGGGCAGCGGCTCAGCTGGTACAGGACACGGACACTGCACTACTGTCCCACCGGGCGCCTGGGCTTCAGGTCCCCAGCAGCATACAAGGGGCCTGACTAAGAAACCCCTGAGCCATGTCAACACTCAAATCGCAGTCACCTAATGCGATGGCGCTTCTTCAGTATGGCGACACAGGCTAGGGGAGGGCGTAAGGCCCAGCCCCACAGCACCGTGAGGAATGCACAGAGAACTAAAGAGCACTCTCCCTTCTGCAGCTCCTCAGACCCGCCGGTGCTCAGACTCCTAAACACAAATAAACAGGGTCAATTCTTTAAGCAGCAGTAGCTTCACGGGGCAAACCCACTGTGTTTTCCAAGTTTGTGCTCTGACACAGCATCCTGAAATGAGCCTCTGGCTGCAGCTTCGTCTGCGGCTCCTTCCCCGCCTCTCTCTTGCAAGGCCCTCTGCGGACTGGAGCTCACTCTGACCACGGAGAGAGACTGCGTGCTGCCTGCCTGGCTGGGCTGTGGGTCCACCCGTAAAGCCTGCAGCCTGGAGCGCCTCCCTTAGCTTCTCCACTGTCAGAGCCGCCCGCTCAGCTGCTGGCAGCACCTCTGGCCTCCGCCTGCCCCCTCGGCAGCTTCTGGCTGTCACTCACCTTGGGCCTCGTCAGGCCTTGGTCCCTGAAGCCATCGTCCTCACTCAGCCCGGGCTTCTGACTTCGCCGCCTGGTGTTGTTACTGAGCACTCGGGCGTTGGCCTTGAGGACGTGATTCAGCGCATGCAGGCAGTACACGCGTCGGATCTCCTCCCCGTTCCCCAGTGCAGTCCTTTCTGGGTAGAACAGGTCCCGGTAGGAGTTCATAAGCAGGAAGAGCTCTTTCTGGAGTGGGCTGAAGGGGCACCTGGATTTCTGGGGACCAGACATGAACTGGCCGTTGGTCTTGGTCCAAGTGGAGCCCAGCGGCTTCTGGAGATGAAGCGACTTTAGGTCAACATCCTTCGGAGGCTTAAACGTTTCCATCCTCTGAAACCTGGAGGAAAAGACGAGCTGGCCCAGGGTGGGCCACTGGGGAGAGGCCCGGTGCCAATCAGCAGGGACGGGGCTTACAACAGCCGCCGCCAGTGCTTCACACATGACCACGACCCTTCCGGACGGACGCAAGGACCGCCTCGCTTGACCCGCGGCAGACAGGTGCCGAGACTCGGTGGGGAAGGAACACTTGGCCCACGGAGGCAGGGGGACGCAGGCAATGTCGGCTAGAGCCTAGGCCTACTGGCTTCCAATCAGCTCCAGCTAGACGTGGGGCACGACTGTCATCCCAGCCCTCAGGAGGAGGGTGAGGCAGGAGGATCACTGTGAGTCTGAGGCCAGCCTGGGTGACACAGTGAGTTCAAGGCCAGCCTGAACAGCACATGGAGACCCTGTCTAAAAAAAAAAAAAATCCGAGCTCCTCACCCTACCAAGGTCTTGCACTCCTCTGCAGTCACTTCTGGGAGTAACATTCAGTCTAGGAAGAAGGGCTCCTGTGCTCAAATGACTGTGGCCAACATCACCATGCCTAGATGGGGAGACTCAGTGTCCATGTGTCTGTCCTTCCTCCCTCCTCCCTTCTTCTGGTTTGTCTTGTTTTGTTTTTTTGAGATAAGGTCTCACTGTGTAGTTCAGGCTAGCCTTGAACTCACAGCGCTCCTGCCTCAGCCTCTCAAGTGCCAGGACTACAGGCATGTGCCCGCACACATGGCCACAACATATTTTAGAAACCACAAGTCCTGAAGAGTCTTTGGACAGGAAATGCATTCATGTTGATTCACTCAGAATTTTCAAATTTGATATGGGCAAGTAACAATTTCTATTTAAAAAACTATCTACAGCCCCTCCCCTTCAGACACATCTATTAGAATTCCAAGGAACACGATTTCATGAGATATGAGTTTGGGATATTTTCTAAAAGCAGACTTCAGCCATAAAAAGAATGAGCTACTGGTAAATAAAACACCCTGGCTGAAACGCCTGGGGTTTCTGAGTGCAAACAGCCACTGTCACAAAAGTCACACCCTATGATCCCATGTCACATCTTTGAAAACAGAAAGATGGAAGTGGAGCCCAGGTTACCAGGGTTAGGCATGGGCAGAGCAGACGGTGGGGCCCACGGGCGCTGGACTCGTGCTGCGCTCTGACGGGTGCAGACTCAGGACCCTACACGGACACCAAAACTGAACACATGGAGACACACGGCCGGCAGGGGACGCCAGGAGACTGGGTGAGATGCTGAGGCATCAGTGTCACTGTCCCTGTGGCACCCTACTCTGGGGCCCTGCTAGACTTCACCACCGGGAAACAGCAAAGGCTACAAGAGATGTCAGTGACTTCTACACCTGCTGTATTTATCACCTCACTATTTTTATAAATTTCAGCCAAAACAAGGACAGCCAGGCATGGTGGCACACGCCTGTAATCCAAGCTACTGGAGGCGGCTGAGGCAGGAGGACTGCTGCGAGTTCGAGGCCAGCCTAGGCCACACAGTGAGTTCAAGATCAGCCTGCACTACATGGTGAGACCTTGCCTCAATGTGAAAATAAACCGTACTGGTCCACGGACGGACTCAAGCTGACTGTGGGGCTCGGCTGGGGCCGTGGCTGTGGAGGGCGCCCTCTCACTGGTGCTCTTCCCTGTGCTGCTTCCTGGCCGCCATGATGCCAGCAGCTCTGCTCCACCAAGACATCCCCACCTCCGAGGCTCCCGCCCTCAGCCTGGGGTCAGGTACTGTCCCAGGAGGTCCCCTCGACCTCCTGAGGGCAGGCGACGCCCCTGCAGGTGCCGCTCTGGTCCCCAGCACGCACACTCCAGCCCCACCTGTGAAAGACCTGCTACTGCCGCACAGCACGCATCCTGTGTCTAAGTCTAAGACCACTGTTTCACTCAGCTTTCTCCAAGCAGCACTCACTTTGAGCCGATGGGTCGTTTTGGGGTTTGTTGGAAGCGCTTGAACTTCTTTTTCTTTCAGTTCCTTGTTCACATGGTGCACAAATGGATCTAATTCAGAAATACAGACATTGGCACGCTTAGCACTGACGGCCGGGCTCCCTGGTCTTCCGTGAGTGGCACGCTGACCTCCCTGCTGTCAACGCATCCCTCTTTCCATCCACCTTGCCCATCCTCTAGCCCATCCACACCGTGCAATTTCAGGCAGGCTCACTTTCCCAAAACAGCTCTCTGTACATGACTTCCCAGCTCAAAAACCTGTGGAGAAACTTCTCAGCCTAAACTTCAGGGCACGGTGGGCTGCGCCTTCAACCTCAAATTCTCTTCCGCCTGTGCCTTTCCCGCCTGACTAAAGCTTCCCCTCTCCTTCAGCTCATTTCCACACACCCAAGCATTACCAGTGTCACGCCACCTGGCTCACAGCAGCTCCCGCCCAGGCCTTCTGCTCAGGCGGCGTTGGCTTCCTCAGAGGCTGTCGGTCCTACCCCTCACCTAGGCGCCCAACACATGCGCATCTCGGGTCAGCAGGCAGGCAGGCAGCAAGTTCCCCGGGGCAGGGCCCACGTCTGGCTGATCTCACGCTGAGACCTACAGCGCCCCCGACCCTCCCTTGCCCAGAGGCGGGGCTCAGGGAAGGCGCTTGGGTCACGGAGCCTCACCAGGTCAGGAGCGGAGTGTGCCTGTCACCAGGAGCTGGGCCTGTCAGAGGTGGACATGGGCGGGACCTGGAGGGCCCATCTCCCTCCCTGGCTCCTTTCTCTCAAGGCTTCCTGGCCACCGAGATGCAGGCAACTTTCCTCCGCCCGGCCCTCCCACCATGCTGTTTCTGCATCTGTGCCTGTCAGCGTCTGAAACTGTGAGTCTGAGGTCAGCCCAAGTTTCACAGCAAGGGCCCGTCCCAAAAGCCAACACACAGAAATCCTCAATACCGCCTGAATCAGCACATGCTCCGAACAACAGCACCAGTAGTCTGGGTAACCTTCAGGGCTCTGTGCTGGCCACCCAGGCCCTCCCAGACCCCCTCTTTAGGAAACAGAGCAAAGTTAGATGACATTCAAGGATGCAAACGGCAAAACTTCAAGGGTAACGCACCTTGTACTAAATACCTAAGAGCTAACAACACAACAAAAATTCTAGGGGCCTTCTTTCTATGTGAGCAAAATATCCAAATTTCTGGACAGTCAGGCTCCTGGTGTTTCCAAGTTTGGATGGGTTTGTGCCACGATTCTACAAATGCTACCTACTCCGCCCTCTCTTGCATAACAGCTAACTGATGCAGACGAGCCAATCGAGGGGTAAACTTTTAGCTCCCTAACCGCAAAGCTGAACTGAGGAAGGCCACTGGAAGCAGGAAAAGCGATCGGGACAGAGAGCCCTAGCCTGCCTCCCCCACCACGCACAGCTGAGAGCCGCCCAGCCCGGGCTGCACACCGCAGAGGCCTCGTGAGACTGTGCGCCGCGTGTCGCTGGCAGCAACCAGCTTGGGGAGGAAAGGGATGGGGCACACTCTGGCTTCAAAGCTTTCCCTGGAGGAGAGGACCCCCGAGACTGGCCTCTCCTGGGCCTCAGGCATCTGAAAAAGCAGGGCCCGAACCAAAATAACACGCAAGGCATAGAAACAAGGTGGGAAGCATTTTCCCCTTCTTCTTTCTCTCCTGCTTGGGGAGAAAATCAGAAGTCTCCCTGGCCTGGAGAGCTGGCTTTCCACACTGCCCTCAAAGTGGGCCACTGTTCCCTGTCCCTTCCCCAACACTCACTCGCCAGTGAAGGGCACAGAACGTCTCGCAGAAGTATTCTTCCCAGCTCTCGATGCAGCCACTAAACCACTGTCGCTACTGCTGCTTATTCAACAGGAGACGACGTCAGTGCGTAGCCCCGCGGGGCCTGGGGAACCCACGTGGCACCCGCGCGTTCTGACCTTGTGACACTTTCAGAGAACAGTCGTCTCCACCTTCCTCTTCAAGAAAATTGGTCTCCAGGCTGAAGAGCGCCTCATGTTTTGCATCTGTGAACTCGGCTGGGGGTTTCTGCGATTCGCCAGGAGTCTCCCCATCTCCATGGTTTTCCTCCTCGGCTTCGGCAGATAAGGTCACCTCTGTAGTTTTGAGACACATCTTGTAAAATTATTTACTCATAAACATAACCAAGAGTTCAAGGCCAGCCTGGGGTACACAGCGAATTCAAGGTCAGCCTGAACTGCACAGAGACCCTGTCTCAAAAAAAGAAAACAAAATTTTAAAAATTAAGAATAAAAAAAGAAAAATAAAAGAGAGGGCCAGGAATTTAGCTCAGTGGCATCGCGCCTGCCTTGGAAGCACAAGGTCCCAAGTTCGATCCCTTGTACACCCCCCCCCAAAAAAAGTCATACAAATGTATAACTATTATACATATCTGCACAACATACATCCATAAAAACTCAGGTCTGAAAAGTTATGGATACAATGTCAAAAATGTTGCTAAGTCTCTTAGTGGTGGAGATACGGGTTAACCACAATGCCCTCTTTAAATTTTTGCTGTAAATATGTATTACTTTTATAATCAAAAGAAGTTTCTATTTTAAAAATATGTAAAAAAGCAATGAAAACCAACTGAAACCCAAACTAAAGACCCACAAAGAAATTGTAAATCTGCAGCAATGAAATTTTATGCCAATAAAACTGATTAATCAAAATACTAAGAATGGTATGTGATGCCTTAAAGTACAGAAAAAAAGAGGCCGTAAGGAAAATGGGCATTAACACAGTAAGACGTGCAAAGTTACCCAGGTATATTCAGACAGCAGACTACTACCCAGCAATAAAAAGGATCGAGCTACTAAGACACAGGCACGGGCGAATCACAGTTAACATAAGGAGAACAAGACAGACACAGAAGGGCTCCTATTCTCTGACTCCACTTGCAGGATTCTAGAACAGGTAAAAATAATCTGCAGTGACAGAAATCAGGTCAGGATTGCCTGAGGTCAAGGATAGGCACCAGATAGCTTCAATATCTTTATTCTCCGAAAATGGCTTTCTATGTCACTCTTCCAGCAAACGTGGTCTCCCTCAGGGAGAAGCGGAAACCTCTTTAAAACAGTGACACAACACAGTGACAGAATTATGCTCTTCCTGTGTCAGAGAGTCTTTCATTAGGATCAGTGAAGTTCCTGAAACAGTTAAAAATGCTGTTTTTTCATTTTTCTGCTCAGAGGGTCCTGTGTTTCCCTCAAGAGTCTCAACACATAATCATGCCCTGTATAAGTTAAATCCCTGCTTTGGATCCACATCCGCACACGAATTCACAGTACAGGGCACTGTGCCCCACGGGACAGTCTGCGTATGGCTTTGGCAAAGATGACTGAACCTCAAAATACTCACTCTCCTGCATCTCAGCTGACTCTGCTGCTGTCTCTTCTTCCTCACTGACATCTTCTTCATTCACTTCTGCATCATCTACACTGTCTTCCTCCTCTTCCTCCTCTTCCTCATCCTCCTCTTCTTCAGAAGCATTCTTTAATGTGGCAAGTAGTTTGTGGTACCCAGAAACCTGTTCTGGTTCACTCTCTGATTCACTTTCAGAATTCGAAGTATCTGAACTTTCTGACTAAAAAGAAAATTTTTAAAATAAAGACATTTTTCGCATCATCATCCTAAGACTAAACAGGCTGACTTTCCTAAATAAAAATTAGCTATCTGCAAAAAAACAATCTTACCTATTTAATTAATTCCGGCACAAAATTTACCCAGAACAGTTAATCTAGCTATGACTATAGAAGCTCTTATAGTCCCTGAACTGCTAACGCCCCACATGGAAAGAAAACTGACTTTTAAAACATAAAACTTTAAAAATAAATAAATAAATAATAAAATAAAACATAAAACTTTAGGCTAGAAGGAAATTTAACTTAAAGGTGTAACAGGAAAATCACAAAACAACAAAAATTGTACTTTCTTTAGATTTGTTGTATGGCAATAGGACTTTTGTTTGTTCTGCACCCTATTTGTCATTCCTTTTATGGTAATCAAAAGACTCTTCCTTACAATTCACTAATGGCCCTGTGGTAAGCCTTTCTAGTAAGACATAACCGGCTCAGGATGGTTTCAAACTCAAGCTTCTGTATTAGTTACCACAATGGCATTTTTGTAGACATACGCATTTAAGACTAAGCAATATTACTAAAGTAATAGGTTGCACGTAAAATTACAAAGGGCAGAAATGTAGTCAAACTTTATTATACCACATAGAATCTTAAAGGTGACAGCCCAGTCCCAGCTATTATAAAGAAGGTACACAGCATTACTTACCAGTTGGCAAATCTGCGGTTTTGCTTCCTTTCCAGAAACCCTGAGAAGAAAGAGGCAACATTAAGGTCTAACCACTAGCTTGTACCAATTAGAGAAAGTCTAGCGACACAACTTTCAATGAAAAAGGCCATATGTGCCACTATAAGTACATTGTAACCACAGTTATGTAAAAACTCACACCCACTTGGACAGGGATTGCAAAAATATGACAAATGGAAAACTGGCAAATGAAAAATTTAACAATGTCACATGAGAAACAGGTCCCTCAATAACTGGCTCTCGTGTTGAAGAACACACCTTGGCAAATAAAGGACTTTGAAGTCAGCTACGGAACTGCTCGGTCAGAATGTCTAAATGCAAGTGAAGAGGCCAAAGCCATAGACGAGCATTGAATTATAATTGAGGCAGGCGTGGTGGAGCACACCTTGTGATCCCAGCACTTTGGGGGCTGGCAGAAGAATGGAAAGCCAGAGTCCAGCCGGGGCACCCCGGGACACTCAGCAAGATGCCGTCCCAAATAAAGCAAAAACAAACTTGTAGCCGGGGATTTAGCTCAGTGATTCCGTCGCCTGCCTCGCAAGTTCAAGGACCCGAGTTCGATCCCCGGTACCAAAAAAACCCACAACCCCCCCCCAAAAAAAAACCAAACTTGTGAAAGAGGGCTGGGGACGCAGCTCAAACCCCAGGTGCCCTGGTTTGGACGCCTCCTGGGGTCTGCCCAGTAGGCGAAGGTCTCCAGCCCTCTGACCGCGGACGCCCTTCCGCTCGGGCGGCCCCGCACCTGTCGAAGAAGGGGTGCTCCTCGCCGAAGTCCCGCAGGTGCTGCTTCTGCTTCTTCGTCAGGCTGCTGAGCAGCTGCCTCCGGCGCACGCGCTTGCCCATGGCCCCGGCGCCAAGCTCCCACCGCAGCGTCCCGGAAGGAAGCAGGCCAACACGCGCTCGTGGGCGCCGGCGGCGCTTTACGGCGGAGCGGGTGCCGTAAAGCACGCTCGCTGCACCTTCCGTGCTTGCGACAGATGTTAGACTTCCGTCGGCCCCGCCCCCTGCGGGGCTTCACCGTGCAGGCGGGGTTTCCGGTGCTCGGTTAGGGCTCATCAGTTTGCGCGCATGTGCAGCGGCAGGAATGTCTGAATCATGTTGTACTATTTTATTTTTCATAAATGTAAGTGTTCATTTTCTTTTGTTATTGGTACATTTTATATATATATATA